GCAGAAAGCAACAAATGAACAAACAAAACCAACAATGAAAAAAACAAACTTATTTTCTTTATCTTGTTAAAAGGATATAAAAAGATGATAAAAGTACCTCTATCAAATAGTTGTTCTGAGTCTTAAATAAAGCTAGTTCATATGAAGCTACTAATACAATGCTTGGCCATGATAAGGATCTAGTAGATGCCAATTATATATTTCCACTTAGGGGAGTATCAATTTTATTTTTTTCAATTTCTGAGAACTCTTGGACTCCAAATTTTACAAAGAATTTCAAGTATATGTACACTTTACTAAGTTGACTGGCTTTTTCTGGATCTGTCTATAAAACAGATTTTTATGTATTTAATTCTGCTTCCTTACTAACATTGTATAGTCAGAGATGCAGTCTTATAAGCCACTGTATTAATAGCAATGGAGAACAGATGTTTTTAGTGTTAGCAAGCTATTGGCAGCATATAAATTGCTCAGAACTTGGAGAAGTTTAAAAAGAGTGACATTGAAGGTGCTCCTCCTCTCCCTCCACCCCTGTCCATAGGAAGAAAATGATGGTGAAAATATAATAAAGGTGTTTATTTGGGGCATAAACTGTTCTTTCATTGAGCAAACACTGTGATATGTTGATGAAGACAGAAGAGAAGTGGACACACCCAGAGTGGTTTATAAGCAGAAGATCTTATAACCCTGGTGTGGAAAAGGCCCTTTCTAGAACTCACAGAACAGTCTCTCTAAAATTTCATGTCTAAAAAGAATACAAGCTTTTATGGATAAGGACTTGGGAGACCTAGGTGACCATTGTTTCTGCAGATATTGTCCATTCTGTGTTGTTTCTCCATAGTTAGTCATCTGTGCGTACACAGTCATTGAAATACAGTACATTATTCAGAACCAAAGTTGCATACATTTACTATAAATATTTATCTTGCATATGCTGTGTACATATGTGTTTTTCATCAGCTTCAAAGTTGCTGGACAATTCTGGCTGACCCCTTCTGTGAATAACAGGACTGTATCTGTGGTCACACAATTTCAGAAACTAGTCTTCAGCCCCAGCTCTGGCAGAGGTCTTCTCAACATGGTTGACCATGTATGAGGAAATCATGGCTTGTATGTGTTCCTTTAGCCTCTAGCTTGATGCTATTATACAGATTCCTGTCAAGTAAATAGAGCCCCATTTAAAGACCATTTCAATCAGGCAGTTAAGGAAATGATTAATTCATTCCCCTCTTTAGTCAGTGTTGACTGGCATCAATATTTTCCATGGTCTTTGCTCCTTGGATGCCTTGGGTACATGAAACAGCTATATTAAAAACAAGTTTGAAAGCCTAAGCCACTTGAAATATATGTTTAAGATCTCAGGTTCATAGTCAGGATTTAGGGTTCTGATTTAAGGGTCCTCTGACACTGTTACTCTTTTTCAAGAAACACCTCAGGCTCTGAGTACTTTTTTTCCCTTTGACCTTTTGGTTATTCACCATAATAGATTATCCAAGTGAAAGTATCAATTGGATCTTCCCCTTCCTTCTCCTTCCACCTATACCAAGTTAGCAGATGAAAAATATAAAAAATAAAAGGTGGTACAAAAATAGTGAAGTCAGATTCACTAGAAGCAGAGGTGGAAGGAGGAAACCTAACTGCTCCACTTTTCACACACGTGTTTTCCATAGGCCTCTGGTTTTCTTCAGTTTTCATAATTACAATTTCAGGCAGCATCCCTCCGCTCCGGGATGGTTATCCCATTTGTGGGTTACCCATTTCCTGTGCATTTCCTTCCTCCAGCCCACCTCTTGGCCACATTAGCATTACTGCATGTCAGAAACGATACCACAGGTGGCCAGAGCAGGTTTGGAAAAAGAAAGAAAATGAAATGGAAAGCTATCCAGTTTGCTTTGTATTAAATTAAAGCATTTGGTGAGGAGAGGCCCAAACTCACTCTCAGCCAGAGTGAGATGTCTGAAAAAACATAGGCATTTTGGAAATTTATACTATTTCTTTCATGATCATCTCTGTTAACCAAGCATTAGCTGGCTAAGATATCTCTGATGAGGTCAGAGCAGCAAGCAGTTGTGAACTTGGAAATAAAGTTGAGGTTATGCCTGCATTTCTGGCATGTAATCAATCAGCCAATATTTACTGAAATCCTAGTTGGACTTAGTTTAATGCATGGTCTTCTAAGTGCTTGGAATCAAGACAAAACTCACACGTAAGGTTCAATAGTCAGCAACAGTTCAATAGAATTCAGTGAGTAGGGGTTGGATGTGTAGAACAGAGTGCGTGTGTGTGTGTTAGTCCCCAAGTTCAGGGAAGGGATGAAACAGACAAACAGGTTGAAGAACATGAGGCAGCTTTATGGGCGGGGCTAGGTCCTGAGCTATGCCCCAAACATGGGGAGCTGTAGGGAGAGTGGAATTTGGATCATTGTAGTAGTAGTAGTACTAGAGAGAGGGAGAGAGAATGAATGTGTGTGTGTGTGCATGTGTGTGCATGCGTGCAGGGCCTCGAGTGCCAGACACAACTCAAGAAGGTGAGAAAATGGTGCAGATGTTCATAAACTATATAAGCCCCTATTTTCCAGATATTATCTGTGCTGAAAAATGGGTACACCCTTTGTTAGAATGAATCCTTGAAACTACTCAACCGTGTTCATAATATTCAACAAAAGGCAGTCTCATTTGGAGAATAAATTAATAAATTCATGTTGGGGAGTATTAGAGGTATCTGTTGCTAGTTAGCATTTGATTTTGAATGATGAAGGTTGGAAAGAGATGAGCTTCCATTTAGGTCGTACCTCAGATGAAAGCCAAGTTGTGGCTACAAGGCCCCAGATGGTCTGACCTTACTTTTCCTTCAAGGCCCCAGATGGTCTGACCTTACTTTTCCTTCTGATTCTCTGCCTCCCATGCCATTCTCTCCCTTGTTCAATAAGCGTCAGCAATACCCCACCTTCCTTCTCTCTCTTCATTGTGCTAAGTTGTTCTCATCTTTTGGTCATTGCATTTGCTGTGTCCTGTACCGAGACACTGACCTCTAGGCCCTTGGGCAGACCAACTCTTTCTCATCAGTCATGCCTCAGTTCACATTTCACTTTCTCAGAGACTGGAGTCTTTTTGCAACCATCCCACCTAAGATGGTGTACTCAGACCTCTCAACAGTCACCATCCTGTCACCCTGTTTAATTCCTTCAAAGCATAAGGAATTTGCTCAGGGCACATGCTCAGGTTTCGGGTTCAATCCCCAGTTGGGGTGCATATGGGAGGCAATGGATTGATGTTTCTCTGTCACATCGATGTTTCGCTCTCTCTCCCACTCCCTTCCCCTATCTCTGAAATAGATAGAAATATATCCTTGGGTGAAGATTTTTAAAAAAATCAAAGTAGTGCTGAATGAGTGTCTACCCACTAGAAACTATGGTACAATAGCCATTAGCCATTGCTAATTTATTGAAAGATTTGAAAAAACAGTAGCACACCTTTGGCTGACACTACTGAAGCTGCCTAAGTTGGTCCTCATTTGTAGCTGGGTTGGCTTGTCGGTGGTTGGAATTATAAAGTATATGTTCTTCAGTTACCTAGTGTGGATTTATAAATGAAATGCCACAATGCTTTTTTGTGTGCCATTAATACATGCTAACAATAAAATGGTACATCTGTTATTCTGCTGTTGAAATAGACTTGTTTATTATGTTTTCCCAAAGGATGAATGGAATAAAACAAGTTAGAGATGGCATAAGAGATTTTATTTGCCTTTCCCACATCTATTCTTCCTGCCTTCCCATGCTATCATGCTAGGGATCCATGCTTCTACTCTAACAATCCGCCCAATTTCTGTCCATTTTTAATGCANCTCTTCATTGTGCTAAGTTGTTCTCATCTTTTGGTCATTGCATTTGCTGTGTCCTGTACCGAGACACTGACCTCTAGGCCCTTGGGCAGACCAACTCTTTCTCATCAGTCATGCCTCAGTTCACATTTCACTTTCTCAGAGACTGGAGTCTTTTTGCAACCATCCCACCTAAGATGGTGTACTCAGACCTCTCAACAGTCACCATCCTGTCACCCTGTTTAATTCCTTCAAAGCATAAGGAATTTGCTCAGGGCACATGCTCAGGTTTCGGGTTCAATCCCCAGTTGGGGTGCATATGGGAGGCAATGGATTGATGTTTCTCTGTCACATCGATGTTTCGCTCTCTCTCCCACTCCCTTCCCCTATCTCTGAAATAGATAAAAATATATCCTTGGGTGAAGATTTTTAAAAAAATCAAAGTAGTGCTGAATGAGTGTCTACCCACTAGAAACTATGGTACAATAGCCATTAGCCATTGCTAATTTATTGAAAGATTTGAAAAAACAGTAGCACACCTTTGGCTGACACTACTGAAGCTGCCTAAGTTGGTCCTCATTTGTAGCTGGGTTGGCTTGTCGGTGGTTGGAATTATAAAGTATATGTTCTTCAGTTACCTAGTGTGGATTTATAAATGAAATGCCACAATGCTTTTTTGTGTGCCATTAATACATGCTAACAATAAAATGGTACATCTGTTATTCTGCTGTTGAAATAGACTTGTTTATTATGTTTTCCCAAAGGATGAATGGAATAAAACAAGTTAGAGATGGCATAAGAGATTTTATTTGCCTTTCCCACATCTATTCTTCCTGCCTTCCCATGCTATCATGCTAGGGATCCATGCTTCTACTCTAACAATCCGCCCAATTTCTGTCCATTTTTAATGCATTATCTTTTTTTAAATATATCTTTATTGATTTCAGAGAGAGGAAAGGAGAGGGAGAGAGAGACAGAAACATCAATGATGAGAGTCATTGATCGAGCCCGCAACCCGGGCATGTGCCCTGACCGGGAATCGAACCCCGATCGCCTGGATCCTAGGTCGACGCTCAACCTCTGAGCCGCTCCCGGCCGGGCAAATGCATGATCTTAACAAGTAGGTAATTGTGCATCACCTCCCTGTGCAGTAATCTGCAGTGTTCTTCCTCCTTTAGCACTGCAGTGACAACACGCACCCCTGCCAGTCGGACATGAACATTGAAGGAGCCTGGAAGAGAGGCTACACGGGGAAGAACGTCGTGGTCACCATCCTGGACGACGGCATTGAGAGAACCCACCCGGACCTGATGCAGAACTATGTGAGTGTGTGTGGCTGCACCGCCTCGCCTCCTCGGAGACAAGAGAACTCGTGGTGGGACTATCGAAGGGGGGATACTGAAAAGGCGGCGTCCAGGTCCGCCGGGCTCTGGACCGCGCCTGCCTTGTGAGAGATGCGCCCTCAGAGCCCAGGGAGCTTGAGAAAATGCTTTCGGCTCCCGAGTGCCTTTCATGTTCCGGCGACAAACAGCAGGTGATAAGGTAGCAGAACCCCCCCCCCACCTGCTGCCAGCAACAACCGCTCTTCTCAACAGCTCATCCACACAGCCAGGCAGCGCTGTTTCTCTTATGGAGAAAAGTACACTTAGAACTTTTCTCAAGTTGTTCTGTTGGCCTGTTTCTCTCCTTTTTTAAAGAACGGTGATGATCAGCCTACCAGTATTCCTTAGGACTCAGTGAATTCTTTTTCTTAAGAAGGCACTGCAATTCCAGGACTCAGAGAGGACATCAGATGAGCCCAAGGTCACAGAACGAGCGAGAGTGCTGAAACTCAGCACTTTCATTGAAAACTGTGGTCTTGACACCCAGTGCCCATGCAGGGGGGAGGGGCAGCCTGTTCCCGGACACTGGGATCTTCCGCTCCAGGGGCCTCCGGGTCCCCTCTGCGACCGTGATAGTCACCGCCTGGAAGTGTGCCAATGACCCCTCTGCCTTCTGCTCTCCAGAATTATCCTTCCCGGGCTTCTCCTCAAGTTGGGTGAAAAGTGCCATCATTATCTCCTAGTGTGCCATTCTCTGTCTGCTCCAAATTTGTGTTTTCTGACACTTTGGTGTTCTCCCTAAAATATTTCTTTTGTTACTAAAGAGCCTGCAATGACTCCCTGTTATCTGCAAATAACAACTCTGATTCCTGTCACGGCTTCACAGAAACTCCCGGTGGATCCCATGCACATTCATGTCTCCTGACTTCTTCTCTAATTTCTTTTCTGTTGACAACGATTTCCACCCAGAAACACTGATATCAGTCCATTCCCACTTAAACTTCAGTCCCTTTCATGCTTCTCATGAAACCATTGGGGCAGAAATGGCCCTCTAGTCTCTCTAATGTTTCTCATTTGTTCAATCTTATTTATTTAATGACAATTTCTCTTAAATTAATTTTTCTTTTGTCACTCAAACCTGAAAACTCTCCATTTTATCTTTGCAAATACAGTACTTCCAAATCACTTCCTTGGCACATGAGAAACTGCCACTGTCTCCAACAGTCACCCACGTTTCTGAGTATGAGGACCTTCCTTCACACAGAACTGGCACACTCTCAGTTCTGATGTCAGAGCTGTGAAGAGAGAGAGAAGCACAATGTGTGGGGTGTCAGATGGCCTAGGTGACAGCCTTGGTTCCACAGGGAGTTTGCTTCATGCCTCTGGCCAAGTTACTTAACCTCTCTTGGCCTCTGTTTCCTTCTAAGTAAAAGTAAGTTACACTAGCTACACTCCATGCTTTATGACCACTATGGTGTATGGGAAGTGGGGACTTACCACCGTTTTATGTAAAGCACATTTTGCTTAATTCTCTCAAACATTTTGGACTCTGTGTACCATAAGTTATTTTTAGAAACAGAGCCTTTGATAAAGGTAGAAAACAAAGTTAACATTTACTTTTACTAAAACTAAAATCAGGAATTAAGATAAAGCATCAGAAAATTCAAAACATCCTAAATTAGTTCTATCTATAGTGATATAAATTTGCTTTCAGAGGTATTTTTGCCTCATTTTGAATCTTGACATACAATAAAACTTTGTTAATTTGATTGGGGTACAGGGCCATTGTATATTAATAAAAAGTCTGAATTGTAGATTCTTTTATAGTAGATAAAACATCTGAAACCAGACAAATATTGCCTAATAGAGATCCTAAGATACCTTATATAATCAATTTCTAATACCGACTCTTAACTGACCTGCCAATTATTTGTGAATGATTTTTATCTTAAAAAATTTTTGAATTATGATAAGGCATTTGACTCTCAAGAAATAAAGCTAGAGAGTCCATGGAGAATAAATCATTCTGCTTCTAGGTAGTCCAGGAGTACTTCACAGAGAAGGTGGTAATTGAGGACATATTTGAAGAAATTGAGTGAGAGGAAGTTCTTGGTCTAAGTCTAAGAGAAAAGTGCTGGCAAGAATCGACCAGGCACTTTGGTCTGCAGAGAGTATTTCTTCTCCCTAAGGGGGGATAGGGGAGAAATGACAATGATTATTACTGAACAAGGCATCCTGACACTACTGAACCATGAATGTATTATTTAATCTAATTACTCTCTTGCAGAAATGTGTTTAAGAATGCATGAGCCTGCAGGTTAATGGCTAATTAATGACCATCTGTCTCCTTTCTCTCTCTCCCCTCTGTGGCCATAGGATGCTCTGGCCAGTTGTGACGTGAATGGGAATGACTTGGACCCAATGCCTCGTTATGACGCGAGCAACGAGAACAAGTAAGGTCCAGGTGAAGGCTGGCGGGCGTGTGACTGACAGGGAACCTGGCTTTTTGCTTTTGCTGAGGGAAACATTTTTTCACTTGGAAATCCTTGGTAACAAATGATCTCTAATTTGCTCCAAGATAAACAAGTGTTTTTCCACTGAAGCTTCTAGGTAATAAAAAGGAGTGGTTCATATAGTAAGAATCCTTGCAGAGCGAGAGAGACAATACTCTAGAAAATGACTCAATATTTCCAGATTTTGAGAGGAGAACTGGGGAATATTGCCTTTCAAGTGGTGATTGACCTGTGACCCCTTTGTTTAGGGATGGGGTGCTAAAGGGAGAGGCAAACAAATAATCCCCCAAAAGAGTTACTGTACTCTGTTAAGTTCAACAGATTTGATTGAGTACCGTACTTGAGGCCTCTCTCCTCTTCCCTGATATAGGCATTTTCCACTAATATACCTGAAATACTTATGGTTTGCCATGTGTGGAACACATTACATTTCTTATCTCCGCAGTCGAGAGCCTTAAAAAAACCATTTAACCACAGTTACACTTTCCAGTTAGTACAGTAGTTTTTGTGAAAGGAAATGAAAATGCACATCTGCTCGATAAGGCAGACTATCTTAGCACTCTTCAGAAGGTAAATGGAAATGGTATTTCTTGCTTACGATGATATAAGTTCTTCAAAGGCTATCGATATTTCTAATCTCTAGATCACATTAACTTTGTTCCTTTTACTGCAAAGCTCCTCCAGCATAATACTGTGATTCAGATATTATCATGTGAATTTTTATTTACATATTTTAGTTTGGGATCGCAGAAGTTCCAAAGAGAGGTGTTGTGCCCATTTATTACATACTATTTTCAGCCTGTGTTTTTCCTTAGGGAAAAATTTCTCAGCTAGGATTATTTGATTAAGTCACTAAGTTTAGATAAAACTATCTGACCTAGATAATTGTGGCTGTACATGGGATTTTTTTCTTTTTTCTTTTTTTTTACCATCTACCAAGAAGCCTCAAAAAACTTACTGTGGAAAATATGCTGATTGTTAATATTAACAACCGAGTAAATATTATAGATCACATTTAGTGGTGAAAGTATTAATATGCAAATTGATGTAGTTAAAATTTTCTAGAACTTTCTAAAGAGAAAGGGAACTAAATTAAACTGGGAAGTTGTCTTTCAGACCCAGTCATTGCTGTCTACGTTACACTGTTCAAAGCTATGGCAAATTTCACTTAAAAGAATATAATTTGAGCTACCGCATTTAACCTAATGTGCAAGCTAACATGAAACACGGAAGGAACTTGAAGCTTTAATAAAATCATCGCTAATAAATATCAGCATACGATCTATTTTGCTGTAATGCAACATACGCACTCCTAAAAGTACTTGCGCTCTGCAAGATCTAAAACCACAGACTAATAACTGGAGTTGGAGCTCAGCACTCAAAAACTTGATCAGTGACACACACAAAAATGATTAAAAACAATCCCAATTTTATCCATGTAAAATGGTTAAGAAATATCTAAAACTACAATCACTATGACACTTTATCTGCAAAAAGACCTGATGTTTGCTCCGGGATGTGTGTGCCCATTAGATCGATTCCTGCTCACATGCCTTTGTTAAGAAGGGTCGTGGCCTTTCAAGGGTTGGTCTGACCTGTGACTAGCATTGCAAAAATAAAAGAGCAAGAGGAAAAAAGATTAAAATTTTTACAAAGAACAGAGAATAGAGAAGAAAATTGCAAAATAGGCTGGGGGGAAAAAGGGGACAATGAAGCAGGGTGCAGGACACCAGCAGGATGGTCTTTGGAAGCATCGCAGATTGCAGATTATTATGAAATGGAAGGCGAGTGGTCTGAAATCGCGGGAAGCAGCAGCACCGATGTGGGTCCCTGTGGACCACTGTGTTCCTGCGGGGGGTAGCTCTGTGTGGTGGTCTGTGTATTTGTACAGGGCTTAGTGACACTAGGTGTGTTTTTTACATTTACTTAGAGTTTCTGGGACAAAATGTGCATAAACAAATGCAAATGTCACATTATGTTCAAATCATTCTCTAATATATCAGTCACTGTTGTTGATTGATTGATTGCTTAGGTATTTCAATAAAAAAAATTTGTGTTTTCAAGGTAAGCAGTATAGCAGAACTGACCGTACTATATTCATTAGCTAAATTTATCCCTTAGGAAAGTCTAGGTCATGTTAATACTCAAAGTATCTTTATACGGTTGTCGAGGGACAAGAGGGTCTATAGGTAGAAAATGAAAACATATTGTGCCCTGTGTCCAGTTCTGTCTGAATCTACACGTGCTGAGTTTTTGCATTGGAACTCTCGGTGGTGATAGTGGCTGTTCAAGGGTGGGTCTGACCTGTGACTAGCACTGCTGACCACAAGGTCTATATATAAAGATAGTTCTTTGAGTATTGGCTTTGACGGTGTTTTACAGTCTGCCTTTTAAAAACTGTATTCTGTGTGAGGATTTCTTTTAAACTTGGCCACTTCCCAAGACCTTTGTTAAGAAGAGTGGTGGCCGTTCTGCCCACGCTGGGGTATTCTGGTGTGTCCTGTTTTAACCATTCTAAGCCCTGTCCACGGTTTGTTGAATATATTGATTCTGATTATTAGGGGACACGATTATTGTTCCAGATGTGTTTGTAGTCTTGGGAGTGAAATACGGCATTTTCAGAGGTGCAACACCAGCACTGATCACCTCTCTTTTATAGAGTCAGCACTCACCTGGGCATCAGATGTCCCTTTATCTCCTCTCATAGTGCTGCCTGATTTTTTATTTTTTATTTTTTGCCAACCATAAGCATGTATCCAGGCATTTAGGATTAAAATTAAAATATTCTCTCTGTTAATTACACCATAATTATAGATATGATTGGATCTGCCTGTAAGCATGGATCCTAGGCAGATAATTCTGTTGGAATAGAGGTCACTTGACATCGAGAAATAAAAGTGTGTTTGTAGTTTAGAAGACTTGACTTGCTTTGGTTCTCCTTGATTACCTTCAGAGTCTTTGGACCTAACTACTCTGAGCTTTGGTACGTTTTTTTAATCTCTAAAATGGGCATCATAATACTTCTAAGGAGTAGCAATAAAGTATGTAAAACACCAAGCATACTGCTGACTGCATCATAGGTACTAGATAATTATAGCTGTTATTATAATTATGTGTTTTATTCCTTTATCCAGTTCTTGATAAGTAATAGGTTAAAATTATAATTATCTCAAAATAAATATGCATATGAACACTTAAAATTTAAACTGAGACTTGGAGGTCTTCATTTTCAAGGTGGGAGGTTTAGTTAGGGCTTTCTGCTTCTATAGGGGCTGGGAGCTATGACGCATTCAGCCTACAGTAAACCTGCTTTTCATTACTTCCATTTCCCCACCTCCCTCCGTGGAGCACGAGTCCTTGAATCTGATGGAAGATAGTGAAGGAGAGGAATCTCTAATCATCACCAGAATAAGGAAGTTGAGGGATTTACTACACAAGCGCCTCCTCATTGTCTGATCTGACCACTAGTCTTCAGAGCGTATTTGAAATGATTTCGCAGGTGGCTGCATTCGTTCCTTCACGCAACAGGTGTTCATTCGTGCCCCGCTCCGTGAATGATGCCGCTGTGCTGAGTGCTGGGGGTGCAGTGGTGCAGTGATAGAGGGCACATGGGCACTGACTAATGGCTTGCGTTGGGAGCCGACTCGGTACGAAGCTGTGACACCTGAAGGGTTTCACAACCTTATGCAAATCATTTCCCTTAGACTCACACGAGTACGTTTCTAGTGCCAAAGCTTTGGGGTGAAGGTAATGACTTCCTATGTACAAAAGTTATAAAAAATCCCCTTTCTTGTCACTTTTTCAAGACTCCAAATGGTGGTGTGTCAGACCTAAATAACTGATGCTAGAACAATAGCATTACTAGGGGAGACCATACAACTGGTCCCCCAATTCAGCTTTGCCTCCATTCATATCAGCTTGCTGAATAAAGCTGACGGCGTTGCTCTAGGCTCAAAATAGAAAATGCCTCCCTGTAAATGAAACAGCCTCCTGGCATTTCATACCACGACTCCTATTTCTGAGATGAATTATTGATGTCTGAGAGTGTCCCTTCCCTAGGTTGCTTCTTGCTAAACGTTCCCGCTGCTTAAAAGGCATAGCCACGTATTTAGTGGGAGATGAAACCATGGCCTTATAGTTTGAGTGTGTCATGTATGGGCCCAGAATCTAATTCCTTTTCAAAATAAACCAACCCATAGGTTAAAGGCTCATTTTCTAAAAGGAATGAGTTTTTCATTTTGTTATCTCTATTTCTAGGAAGATTTAACCAGGGTGGATAGAAGCACATTTCTTCTGCTTCTTTAGTCTCCTTTCACACGTAATTTCTGGTTTTAAGAATGTTCCATGTTGCACAGCTGGGCGTGGCTCAGCGGTTGAGCGTCGACCTAGGATCCAGGCGATGGGGGTTCGATTCCCAGTCAGGGCACATGCCCGGGTTGCGGCAGCCAATCAATGACTCTCTAATCATTGATGTTTCTATCTCTCTCTCCCCCTCTCCTTTCCTTTCTCTGAAATCAATAAAGATGTATTTAAAAAAAAAAGAATGTTCCATGTTGCAGAAACTGAAGTGTAGGTGGCCTCTCTTATTTGGGTGGAGGGGGTAGCATTTGAGTGTGTCATGTATGGGCCCAGAATCTAATTCCTTTTGTCAGGGGGTAGCATTCCAAAGCCAAGCCAATGAATTTAGACAGTGTTTTCTGATTATACAGAAATATTTAAACTCAATACAAGAGAAAAAAAAGAAAACACACTTTAGGTCTGTGATCAATAGCTCTATGACTTTAATGCTTCTTAAGGTACAAGCATTATTTTTTATTCCCAAGATTTAGCCAAATATGTTAAGATAAAATTACCCTATAGCGAAGTCGGTCAGGAAAAAAACCTACCAAAGAAAAGTAGGGCCATTATCAGAGGCTGATTTGTTTTCCAAATATTTTCAA